AAGCCATCCTATGGTGGCTCCAGAGAACTCACCCTCCAGACTGACCTCTGGCCTCCTCCACACACATGCACACACAGGCACACACAAACATACATACATGCATGCATACTTGTACACATAGGTACACACAGAGGAAAAAAAGATAAATTTGGGTGTCATTCAAATTTTAAAAACTGTTCTACATCACAAGACCCTGTCAAAAGAGAGAAAAGGAGAATGGATTAACAGCCAATAGGAGGAGAGAAAACATCTGCAGGTCGTAAGCCTGACTAGGGTCTAGCGTCCTGAATACAAAAAGCCAGCAGAATGCAACAACAAAAACAATCATTGGACTTGGACAAAGGAGCCAGGCCTAGTGGTGCATGCCTGTCATGTGGCACTTTAAAAGGTTGAGTCAAGAGAGCTGTGGGCTCATGTCCAGCCTGTACTACACAGTACGAGCATGAATAAAATAAAGTGAACAAAGGACCTGGACAGACATTCCAAAAAACACACACGATTAGCCAACATGGGAAGCAACTCAGCATTGTAGTCATGGAGAAAGGTGAATCAAAACCACAGCAAGGCTAGCAGCTCCGAAACAGAGCACTCGCCCTGCATTCATAAGAGCCTGTGTCCAGTCCCCGGCACCAAACACCAAACTGAGAAACTGAAGTAGTGTTTCTCAGCCTCTGAGATGCCAGCTTTATTCCCAAAGTCGTAAGAAAGGTTGATACGGGGGCTGGAGAGACGGCTCAGAGGTTAAGAGCACTGGCTGTTCTTCCCAAAGTCGTGAGTTCAATTCCTGGCAACTACATAGTGGCTCACAACCATCTGTAAGGAGATCTGGTGCCCTCTTCTGGCCTGCTGGCATACATGCAGGCAGAAAGCTGTATACATAACAAATAAATAAATCTTAAAAAGAAAAAAGAAAGGTTGATACTGCTGCCAATTGCAACCCTTATTTACTGCTGGGGGAATAGGAAATATTTAGCCAATGTGTCAGACATTTAAATGTGAAAGTATATAATTCAACAAGCCTACCCTGATCAAAATGAAAAAATAAGGATCCGCAAGATAACTCAGCAGGTAAAGGCACTTGCTACCAGACCGTTGATCTTGGTTTGACCCCTGCGAGACCCACATAGAAGAAGAGGAGAACCAACTCCTGAAAGTTGACCTCTGACCTCCACATGACACACACACATACACACACGAGTACAGACAAATAAATGGTTTTTTAAATAATTTAAAAATAATCGAGGTTAGGTGTGGTAGCACATACCCCTAATCCCAGCACTTGGGAGGCAGAGGCAGGCAGTTTATACCTCCTTAAATTTGAGTTCAGCCTGGTCTACACAGTGACTCTGAACCGAGTCTGCTCTACATAGCAAGTTCCAGGCCAGCCAGGGCAACATAATGAGACCTTGTTTCAAAAAAAAAAAGAAAGAAAGAAAGAAAGAAAGAAAGAAAGAAAGAAAGAAAGAAAGATTGAGAACAGGTTTACAAACCAAAACTTACACACAAATTTTCATAATTCCACATGCATAGCCACACATGTCTTACGTGGCACATACGTGCAATGAAACATTGTTCATCCCCAAACAAGAATAAAGTACTGACACATGCTTCAGCATGAACGATCCTTGAAAACATCGCTTTCAAGCGAAATGAGCTGCACACAGAAGGTCGGAGGTTGCGTGATTCCACTCACATGAAGTCTCTACCACAGACAGACCCATACAGGTGGGAAGCGTGCCGACCTCGCCAGGGACTGGGGAGGGGGGGGGTGTGACTGCTGGAGGGCTTGAGGCTATTTGGAGGGTGATGAAAATGTCCCGATTGAGACGGGGTGCACACCCCTGGGAATGCACTCAGAGCCACTGCACCGCCTGTTTGTGAGGGGTCGAAACAGCCAAGGCTTGCTACTGCATTTTACCGCAGTGAAATTCATCAGCGAGTGCACACGAGATTTCCACAACATGGAATGCCTGGCCCTGTTGGCATATGAGGACATTACGGTCACTAGAGAACGCACAGTAAGTCCACTCACACCCTTCACTGGAGTTTACCACTCTCTAAGCCAAAAAACAAGACTCAGCAAGGTACAAAGACAAGAAGACACACCAGTGCCTTAAATTAAATATTGATAGACAGCCAGACAAAAAGGCATGTACAGGGATGGGGGACCCAGCCCAAGAAGACATATGGCTAGGAACCCTGCACGCCCCATGTCTCCTCCCCATCCCATTTTCATCAACAGGACCTTCCTCAGGTCCTGGGCCCTGGGCCCCCTTTCTCACAGCCTCCGTCCCCTAGCAGGAACAAGCCACAGCTAGTCTGACCACAGCCGCATCTCAGCTGTGACCCTGGCTTCCTCAGGCCAGGGCAACCACCTCCCTAAGCCCACGTCCTTGTCCGGGGTAGAGGCTGGCTGCCGTCAGGTGCTGCCCAGCCTGCTGCCCAGAGGGTAACACCTGACCATCACTTCTGAACCAGGGCAACCAGCCTTTTCCTGAAAGTCTGGCACGGCACTGAGTCAAGAACAATCGTAACCCGTTTTTAAGGCTCACCTGGAAGGAAGCCTCAAAGACCAGGAATCAAACCCTGCCCCACCCCCACCCCCCGGGATCTTCCACCACAAGCGTCCATTCCAGGGAGAACAGCTCAGCTTGTGCCCTCTCAGAACCCATTACCTTTCCCCTCTGCCTCCCCTTCATCCCAGAGTCCAGACACATGTATAGGAAGCCTTCCTGCCTCCCGTTCCTCTGACTTGGCCTCCCTCTCCGACCAGAACTCTGTGGGGGCAGCAGCAGGGACCCCACTCCTGAGCCCCGCTCCTTCCTTATTGTCTGACAATAAGGGAAAGAAGCCGCAGCAGCAGAGCTGAGCCCTCTAACAAGCTGGGTTATGGCAACCAACAGGCTTTTGGCAGAGCTCCCTGGGCCGTCTGCATTAAGAAGTCACAGACAAGGGGCTCGAGAGAAGCCCTGAGCTTAAGAGAACTAGCTGCTCTTCCAAAGAACCTGGTTCAAGTCCCAGCACCAACGTGGTGGCTCCCAACTGTCTGCAACTCCAGCTCCAGGGAAACCAACATGCTCACGCTCATACATACATGCAGGCAAAACACCAACACACATAAAATTGAATAAATAATCCAATGCACATAAAATTAAATATAATCATTAAAAAAAAAGACTCACAGACAGGGTTTAGCAGATGGGGAAATAAATAGAGGTTTAGTGAGTTAAAAGATTTGTTCCAAGCCATACAGTTGTGCTGTGGGCAAACACAGAGAGCCCTAACCCGGGTGCCTCTCCACTGCTTCAAGGGAGCCACTCACTGTATTTGACAGTGTCAAGGCCCCATCTAACCGCCCTCCTCAGCTGAGGGGCCAGACCAGTTACAGCCCACCGTGCTGGAAGGTCTTTCTACTGAGTGGGCACAGCACACAGAAGTTAGTTGTCACTGGCTGACTCCCTCTGACCTCAGCCCTCCCCTGGCCAGTGCCCACATGTGCCCACAAGCCCAGCCCTAGCTGCTCCTCCCCTGCCTTGACCAATGTACCCACCACCAGCTCAAGGCCATACCCATGGGTTGCCCATCACTCCAATTTTAAGATTAGCACTGCTGGGCTGGAGAGATGGCTCAGAGGCTAAAAGTCCTGGCTGCTCTTCCAGAGGTCCTGAGTTCAATTCCCAACAACCCCACACGGTGGCTCACAACCATCTATCATGAGATCTGGTGCCCTCTTCTGGTGTACAGGTGTACATACAGACAGAACATTATATATGTAATAAGCGAACAAATAAATCTTTTAAAAAACAAAGATTAGCAATGTTGTGGGGTGTTCTTATCACGAACATGTGGAGGTGCTATTCTTGTCAGGCTCAGGCCCTGACACTTGCTGTGGCCTGCTGCTGCCACTCCCTGTCCTCCCCAAGACACCGGAGGAAATCATCACTGCCTCAAGAAGATGCAGGACCCTGAGACTCAAAAGAGGGGGAGTGATTTGCCCAGGATCACACAGACTAAGAGGTGAAGCTTGTCTATCCCATATTTTTCTTACACCCCAGATCTCCTGGGCTTTTCTGGTTTACTCCAGGACCAGACATACTGACCTGTCACCACTGAGTTACTAAAACATACCCAGTTCCCAGGAGGGGCTCTGAGCGGCCCCGAGTGAGTGAGTGATGGCCAACAGCGGTTGAGCAGGGCAGATGGTGTGATAGGACACAGAGGGTGAATGGAGGCAGGTCTGGGCACACAGCATGCACACTCTAACAGCATCACTTACCACCTGAGGAAGGCAGGGCGGGAAAGCCCAGAGCAGTGGCCAACAGAGAAAGGAAGAAGGAATTAGTGAGCGGGAAGTCTGGAGGCAGCCTGGGACCAGGACTAACCCACACCTGTTCTTCCACTCGCTGGCCTGACAGGAGGGAAGGGGTGAGGAGAGGCCCCCTAAGCTGTCAGGGGCATGGCCTCTCAGGAAGGCCACATCTGGGCTTTCAAAGGAGATATGGAAGAGCAGATAGCCTTTTGGTAGAGCAAAGCACAGAGTCTACCACAGATCAGGCTGTGATCCCATCCTGGTGGCACATCTATCTGCCGTGTCTTAAATTCCCGTGTGCCTTAGCTGGGCAGTGGTGACACAGATCTGCAATCCCAGCGCTGGGAAGGCGGAGGCAGCTGGATTTCTGAGTTCAAGGCCAGCCAGATTTACAGAGTGAGTTCCAGGACAGCTAAGGTTACACAGAGAAACCCTGTGTGTGTCGGGGAGGGGGGGTTCCCATGTGCCTCAGCTGTTCTCACCGCTCTTCTTAGGAGCCAGAACCGAGGCAGAGGCAATGGATAAAACCAGGACAGGGTCAAATTTAGAAGCCAGGACGCCCACCGCCCACATCTGCTAAAAACTGACCTTGATCAAGAGTTTCAGCAAGAAAGATGGCTGGCTACAGGGTGGTCCCTCAATAACAGAGAGCCAGTGAGAACATATGTCCCCTTGACAGGCCCCAACTCACATGTCCATGAAGATCTGTGTTGAGCAGCATCAGGGCACAGGTGAGCGTGTGGATCCCATCTGTACAGAACACAATGGCATTCTCAGTGTGCCGAGCCACTCCCTCCCATCCGGAGCCTCCCACCTGCCTCACCATAGAGCCAGCCTAGAGCCAGACAGAGGAAGCTAGACATCTCCCCCCAGGCACTTCAGGGCCTGCGTGATGCTCAAGCCCCCAGGGTCCCTGCCCACCCTAAGCCAGCACTAGCCCACATGTCTGCCTGTTGCAGACAAATTCACCTTGAACCTTAGACCTAGGAAAAGCTGTGGACCCCAAGCCACGTCCCTACAATAGGAACAGGGGAGTTGGTCCATCCCTTCCATCCATATGGCAAGTCCTGTCCCTGCAGGGGACCCACAGAATTGTGACAGCAGACACGGAGCATGCAGAGCTAAAGGACTGAGTCTAGAAAGGACTTACAGGCACTGGGAGTGGAATGGCAGTGAGCAGGACATTTGGACTTTCTTGTCTAGCAGCTCATCTCATATTCACTGAACATCTATGTAGTCCTGGCCGTCCTGGAACTCTCTAAGTGGTCCAGGCTGGCTTCAAACTCAGAGATCCACTTGCCTCTGGCTCCCTCCAGAGTGCTGGGATTAAAGGCGTGTGCCAATTCCGACACCACCACCCGGCTATTGTATTTATTCAATCTTAATTGAGCACCTACTCTATGCCAGGGCCTACGGCCCACCTGGGCCTGCCTGAAAGTGAAGCAAAGGTGGCTGGTGGGTCAGGCTGGGAGAAGGCCAGGGCTCAGCTAAGCAAGGAGGATGGAGGTGGATCGGGGAGTGCTGTACCTTCTGAAGTGCTGTTGTCTGGGTTACACTGGCAGTACCGGCGAGAGAAGTGGGTGAGGATCCGTTCTCGCTCCTGCGTCTCACCCATCAGTGGGAAGGCCTTCAGGAAGGTTCTGGAATGCAATTTAAGGTTGCCGAGTGAATCAGAGTGAATCTTTGCTTCAATCATCTCACTGGAATAGAAGACTTGTCCCCACACACAAGCATACACATTGTTCCTGTACTAAGGTCTAGATACTCTCTGCAGGCCCAGGCAGAACCTTAGCCCTCCAAGATGACCTCTGGATTCCAAGACCTCCCTCTCACCCCTGTAGCACCCTTCTAGAAGCAGGAAGAGTGGTACATATGAACAAGACAGATGAGAACGTCAGAGCCAGCATCAGCCCCGGAATGCCAGCCCCACCCATCAGCACGCTCTTCAGTTTTTCCTGATCCCCTACTGCCCATCAGCTGAGCCCTGGACCCACCCCCATTCTCACTCCTCCACCCAAGGCTGAGCTGCACTAAGTCTCTGTGGTTTGTTCTTCATTTTTGGGGGGAAGAATTGTTTGTTTGTTTGTTTGTTTTCAGACTGCGTCTCTCTCTCTACATAGCCCTGGCTGTCCCAGAACTTCCTGTATAACCGACATGCTACCTCTCCCGACCATCTTCATATTCTGGTCAGAACTTCGCTATTCTGGTCCTCTGAACCAGAGGACCCTCTGTGTGTCGCTGGGGACCCTCTGCGACACACTTTCCATCTAGTAGTCCCTCTCAATACCAAGTTCAAAGGTCAGTTCTCCTCTTAAGGACACCTGGAAGCTGATCCCAAAACCAGAGGAACTGGAAGATGGGGCCATGGGACTGTTAGCCAGGGGGTTGGTGAGAAGGGAAACTCCAAGCCAAACATATATGCTGTATGTTAGCATATAGGCAGCCTGCTTCTAGGTTGCCTAGCAACCTATGATGGCATCACGTGCTGCCAGGTGTGTGGCACACACGTTTCAGCTGCACACCAGATATAAAAGGACCCACCTGCCACCTCATCTCTCTCTTGCACTCTCTCTGCCTTGGTTTCTCTCCCTTTCTCTCCTCTCTGATTTTCTTTCTTGGGGGCCTCCCCACCATCCCCTTCTTTCTCTTCTCCTATGCTCTCCCACTGTCTCTCCCTAGCTCTCTGTCTCTGTCTCCCTACCCGGTACAATAACTCTCTTATCAGATCTGTTGTGCATGTGGCTTTTTTATTTATATTATTACAGAACCTGTTTGTGCCTCTGTCCTGGGTTTACGAGATGACATGTCTTAATTTTGCTGTGGTTTCTTTGGTAGTGTGTGGCCCAAAGTACCCGTGATGTCACTTCACTAAGCTCTTTCTGAGAGGCCTAAGGCCCCCTGAGACCTACGGCCAACCTTTTCCCTGGAGGCCTCCAAGGCACACCAAACTTCAGAGCACTCCAGAAATTCAACCCTAAGTGATCTACTTTTATGCAAAAACATATCCCATCCAACAGCTGCCTTTCCTCCTCTCGCTGTCTCACCTGTCCCCTGTCCTCTTCCCAACGTGTTCCCTCAATACTCCACTGTACTTTCTTTTTATTTCACTTATTTAATTATAAGTATATTTGAGTCCCTACATGTATGTCTGTGCACCACATGTGTGCAGTGCACACAGGGGTCAGCAGAGGGCAGAAGATTCCCCTGGAACTAGAATTACAGACAATTCTGAGCCACCCAGTGGGTGCTGGGAATGAAACCAGGGTCCTCTGAAAAAGCAACTGAGCCATCTCTCCAGGCCCAATCCATTGTACTTTTTGTTTGTATGTATGTTTGTTTGTTTGTTTGTTTGTTTGTTTTTTCCAGTCAGGGTCTCTCTGTGTATAGCCCTGGCTGTAGACCAGACTGGCCTCAAACTCACAGAGATCTGCCTCCCAAGTGCTGGGACTAAAGGTGTGTCCTACCACACCCTGCTCCACTGTACTTCCAAATCCCAGATCCTGCTTCGCAGTGGCTCTTTACCAAGCCCCAAGCCTCCCCCTGCATACTCTTGACTATACCGCAGGCTCAGCCCCACCATTGCCTTCATTCTCTCTGTGTGCCTCAGCTGCTTTCTGCTCTATCTCCTGACACTCTTCAGCATGAGTGTCCTTGCTCATTCCACTGCTTCCTCAGGCCTGTCCTCTCCCCCGACCCCTTGAAGCCTGCACGTCTCTGGATTAAAGGCTGCTAGCACACTACTACAGCACAGCCTCACAACCGAGTGCCTTATGTGGCTCTACAGGTTCTAGACAGACAAGCCTCACTCTGGCGGCCCGCTGTGCAAGGCCCTCCAGCCCAGCACCACTGCCTCAGATGACACGCCAATCCCACTAACACTGTCTTTCTGAGCGCCCTCATTTTGGTGCAATCCAAAGGCTCAGCTCAAGATGGCTCTGCTTGGAGTAGAGCCATATACACCCCACCCCAACAGTCAGCAGTGAGCTTCCTCAAGCTACAGATAAAGCACCAAGGACCTCAGGCCCATGATCTCAGGTGGAGACGGCCGAATGGAGGTGGGATGATGTGTGACAGCCACCTTTTCCCTGGGTGCATTGCCGACAAAGCCCAAGGGCAAAAGGCAGTACTCTAGATCCTTTGGAGGGGCTGGAGAAACAAACCCAGATGCAGGTGTGAAGTGGGCTTCAAAGCGAAGCAGAAAGCCTCCCAAAGGCGGAGGGAGACAGTTGTGCTGCAAGGAGGTGGCAGTGAGGATTCAGTCCCAACGACATGGCTCCCCATGCAAGGCTGAAGCTCAGAGCCAGCCCCGAGAGATGTCACGTTTCAGAGCTGCCCTCCTCAGCCCAGCCCTGCCTGGGTTAAGACTGTGTCTCATGTTCCTCTCCAATTGCCTTGTAAAGGAAGGGTTGTACAAAATAAGAGAAAGAATAGGTGCTGGAAAACCAAGAGGGAAAAAGACAAGACAAAACAAACAAACAAACAAACAAAAAAACGGAAGCAGAAGCAGACACAAAGTGAGGAGTGGAGAGCCAACAGCTCCATGAAGAAAGCATGAGGAGGGAGTTTGGATCCCCAGAGCCTGTAGTTGGCAGGTGAGCACATTGGCCACCCATGATCTCAGTAACAGAAGTCAGAGAAAAGTGTTCCTGGAGCAAGCTGGCTTGCCAGGCCAGTCACGTCTGTGAGCCCTGGATTCATCTGATCGACTTGACCTCAAACAACAGGGTGGAGAGCAATTGAGGAAGACTCCCAAACATCAACCTCAGCCTCCACACACAAGTTCCCACACGTGCCAACATACACACGTGCACACACACACACACACACACACACGAATGCACAGGCACATACACAATGCCCACACAAACATGCACACTCAGATGCACACAGGCACATGCACACGAATGAATCACAAATACACTAAGGAAAAAAAGAAAGAAAAACACATATACAGGATTTAGACGAGTAAGTGAAAAGATGGGGGGGCCCACGGAGAATTAGAATATATTTTAAAGTGTAAGTTCGATGTAAATTCTAGAACTGTAAAATGTAACTGAGAATAAAAACTGAATGAGCTTTGGGGGTAGGCACGCATGTGCAGTATGCGTGCACGCATGGGGGACGGTGCTGGAATTTGTGTTGGCACATGTGCGCGCATGTATACACAGAGACCAGAGGTGGACACCAAGTGCCTTCCTCAGTTGCTTTCCACTTCATGTATTGGGGTGAAGTCTCTCATTTGAAACGAGAGAGCTTGCTGATGTGGCCAGCCGGCTTTAGTGTTTCCTCTCCGTGTCTTCCTCCCACACACTGGGATTACAGACAGACATCACGCCCACCTAGCATTTACACAGATGCTGCAGGCCCTACCTTCTTTGGACATGACCCTTAGCTCTGAAGTGTTTCCCTTCCCCACTCAGGTCAAGTCAGGCCTGACCTGGCATCTTTCTGTTGATACTGGGCTACATCCACCCATCGCACCCCTCCTGCTCCCAAGGCCCACACCTCACCCTCCTGAGGCCCAAACAATGAAATAGTGCAATCAACTCCCCTTTGCCATCAAAGTAGGCCAGGGGTAGCCAGGTGATGGTAAGGCAGGCCTTCAATCCTAGCACTCAGGAGGCAGAGGCAGGTGGATCTCTGTGAGGTCAAGGCCAGCAAGTTCTGTGTAAGCAGGGCTACACAGAGAAATCCTATCTCAAAATAAAATAAAACAAAACAAAAAAGTAAGCCAGGAGAGTAAAGACCCGTGGCGTCTGGAGAGCAGAAAGTGCTCCATACAGGCAAGCCCTTGGCCTCCTTTTCATCCTAAAGAGCTGTGACTATATTCCCACTTTCATGTCCCTCGGCACCCATCCCCTTAGCTGGCATCCACTGAGTGGCTGAACAGCTGCTACCCATAGGTTTCCTTTCCCACAGCTTTACCAGAGGGGGTCAAGAGACTTGCTGGAGTAGAAATATTGTATTCTGGATTACAAAGACAGATAGCTGGAATGACCAACTAGATGTGCCGGTCCACCAGCCGTGGGTACTGTCCATCCCAGCCCCACTGACCTGAGTGCTCTGTCCAACGTGAGGCCTGAGAAGTCGAAGAAACTGAGGTACTCCCCAGCGACCAGCCTGCTGAACTCATTGCTGCCAAGAGAGTATAATGAGATGTCAGTTAGAAGCAGGTCCCCAGTCCCGGGGCATCAAGTGCTGGGAAAGCAGGCCCCAGGGTACCCTTAACCACCACCCAGATCTACCCAGACCCCAGGCTGTCTCTCCTCTGGTGACTCAGCTCGGGGAGATCAACCTTGGCCTGGAGGATCGGGAGATGCTGTCTCAGCCAGCTCAGGTAAGAGCCTGCCCAGTGAGGGGATGCAAGTACTCCCAGCAGAGGAGATGAAACAACATCACATCAAGCAGGAAGCAGAGATGAGGGAGGGGCAAGGCCTCGGGGCACGGGAAGGATCGGGGCACGGCTGCAGATGCTAAGACTGAGAAGGTTGAGGTGTCAGAGCTCAGGGACAAGGACGGGCTGGCTGAATTCCTGTGCAGGTAACCTTGTAAGAGCGTGGAGTTTCGAGACCTGAGCGCCTTGAGAAGCAGGTGCAGGGAGTTTGGTGCGGAGGGGCGTGCCTGTCACTTCAGCACTAAGAGGTAGAAGGATCCGGAGCCTGGGACCAACCTGCCGACATGATGAGACCGTGTCTCAAATAAATAAATAAATAAATAAATAAATAAATAAATAAATAAATAAAAGTTCTGAAGGCAGAAATGGGCTGAGGATGTGGCTCAGAGTGTTTGTCTAGTGTGCATAAATGAAGCCCTGGGTTCAATCCTCAGCAAGGCAGTGTTCAAAGGAGCGGGAGTCAAGGTCATAGTGAGCTTGAGGCCCGATCGGGCTAAAGGGATAGCTCAGTGGCTAAGCGCACTCACTGCTCTTCCGGAGGACTTGACTTTTGGTCCCCAGCACCCGTGTCAGGTGCCTCACAACTGTCTCAATCCAGCCACAGTGGCTGCCTGTGGCCCTCTTCTGGCTTCCCGGGCATCTGCGTACAAGTGGCACACAACCACACGACGCTCACAGCCACACCCACAAATAAAAAAAGGGTTTCTCTTGATGTGTAAGCCCAGGGCAGAGCTCTGAAAACAGCCCCACTAAGGTTCCAGATTGAGGAAAGAGCTGGTGAAGAGGGCAGGGCTGGGTCCTCCAGGAGGCCAAGGGAGAACAGGCTCCGTGAAGCCTAAAAAGAAGACTTTCGAAGAAGTTTCCACTGATTCTAATTAATCCTCAAGCTTTCCTTCCCACTGACAGGGTTGTGGGAACTAGAGGGATATGTGAAATAACACCACACCCACATTCAAAATGCGGGAGATTTTCTGGGACAAGGCTTGTGAACGGAATGGCATCGTATCTGAATCTGCGTCCAGGAGCGGAGAGGAAAGCTGTGGTACGACAGAAGAAGGTCAAAGCCGAGGTCTGGGTATGATGTTACACACCTACCATCCCAGCTTTGGGGAAGTTGAGGTAGGAGAATTTGGTGACCAATGTGGGATACACAGTGAAACCTCAAAGCACTTTAAAGTTCCATAATGAGTATATGAAAAGTATAATGTTTGTCTGCTTTGTGTGGGTATAAAGTGTTCGTAATGAAAGCCTTGAAACAGAGAGGAGTGGCAGGCTGAGTCAATGCTGTTGAAGCAGCCATCCACTTGCCACAGCCTAAGCCCTTGGTGCTTGGAAAGAGACGTTTCTAGAGAGATCACAGAACAGCAAGAACCCACTGAGAGGGGCTAAGAAAAGAACTGAAGGGACAGAAGCTACCCAGGACAGAAAACCTGAGAGTTGGAGATGAGGAGTTGGGAATTTTTTTTTTTTCTCTCCTTTTTTGAATGGGAGAGGAAAGCTGTGGAAATTGCTAGAGGAGCCTGCAGAGGGCGCCATGGAAACATGGCAGGAGCTGGTCCTCCCAAGAATAGAATATCTTCAGATTCTATCTGCCTGGAAGATGTTCAGCTGGGCAGAGGAGTCTATGAGTTGTGGTTTTTAGAAAGGGCTCCTGGGAACCCACTGCCTAAGGTACAAGAAAGCTTCAGAGGGTGCAGGAAGGGCACCTAAAACCCGAAGCCCTCATCTCAGCCTGACCCACATCTGATTATCTCCCTTAGCTTTGTGACTAGCACAGGAGGCTGGCCAGCCCCACCCACCTCCAGGTCTTTCTGGAGTGGTGGAGTCCCTGTGGACAGAAGGGCCAATGCAAGGGTCACACCATGCTCAAACAAACTCCGCATATGGCGTCCACATCTCCCTCACATACACACCCCAGCTCACCAGTCCTTCCGGGACTTCTGCATGGCTAGTGGCCTTTGCACCCAGTCTGAAGGTTGTGCCCTGTGCTTTGGGTGTCTGGTCCTCTCAGCTGGTCCCAGTAAAACAGCTTTGATGAAGAGGGGCACACTTTTTCACCCCAAATCGCTCACAGGCTCTCCCCTCCACCTGGCCCCACTGAACAGAACTCCAGTCCCCATCTAGTTACTCTGTCCTCTCTACTTGCCTTTCACATCCCCCATCCCGATCCAGCCCTGAGGGGCCGCCTTGTCACCACCCCCTCCCTGACAGCAGCCACCTTCGCCCAGGCAGCCCAGAAAGGAAACAGATTTAGGGCGAGGTCAAGAATGAGGACAGTGACAGACAGCGGCATCCTGGAAGGCCTGGTGAGAGCTCCCGGCACCAGCCAGCCCTTTCCGGCTGAGGAACACGGTGGGTTTGCTTTGCCCTGGGATGGAAGCTGGGGAGACCCGCTCACTTCTTTCCCAGCTGCCGGGCCACATCACAGCGCTGGAAGCCTTCGAGGTGGTAGAGGCGGCGGGCCAGCCTTCGAGCGGCTTCGCTGACCCCCTGGCACCCGTTGGCCAGCGGGTCTGTGCCACCGGGCTCCAGCCCCTCAGAGCTGCTCAGCTCTGAGTCCGAGTCCGACAGGCCGTCTTTAAGGCTGGTGTCACTGCAAATGGAAAGGATGGGATCAGAGGCCCTGTGTTCCACTAAGAGGGACCCCCAGTCTCTGAAAATCCACTGGGACCCCAGAGCAGAAAAGGCAGCAACACTGCAGCAGGGGCTCATGGAACTAGACTTCCAGAGAGTGGTTCAAAGGAAATCAGACCGGCTGTGGCCCTCAGCACAGAAATGCGACCTGCTCTGAGCGAGAAGGATGAAAGAGCAGTATGGGAAGTCAGCAGAGGTAGACAGGGTGACCTTGTGAGGGCCGGTGGATTGTGGACTCTGTCATCCCCGAATGCTCTGCCTCCTCTGGGTCTCAGTTCCCCTACCTTCTCCCGTCTTAGAGCCCCACCACCACTACCACCACCTCACCTGGCAGAGTTTAGCAACTTGTCTGTGTCCTCATCATCCTCATCGTCCCCTCCTGAGCCCCCAGGCCCATCTTCATGGAACCCATTGGGCACCGATGTGAGAGACAGGTGGCTGAGAACATTCTCCGAGCGGCTGCTGGAGATAGACCGCCGCAGGGGGCTGCCCAGCTCCCCATCACTGCCACCACCGGCTGCCCCCTGAACCCCTTCGGGCCCCATGTCCCCAATGCCCAGCCCGGCCCCAGGCTCGGGGCTGTCTCGAGCCCGCTGCTGGATGAGAGGCGTGAGGGGGGCTTCGAAGCTGACACAGCTGTCGCTCTCGTCAGTGAGGCTCAGCACATCCAATGAGTCCAGGCTACTATACTGGGTGCCCCGCAGCAGCTCTGACTCCAGAATCTTCTCGAAAGTGGCGCTGAAGCCATCCCGCACATCTGGCTCCCCAGGACAATCCAGCCTACAGAACACAAGCGCATAGTCACCATCCTGCCCAGATGTCCCCCACACTAAGGATAACTACCACACCACCAGTCTCTTTGTCTAGGAGCTGAACACACACACATACACACACACACACGCGCCCCATGCATACTCATACACTCCTGTGCATATACAAATGAAAACACACACAGACACACACACACGTTCACACTCCAAATGTACAGGCTAGACACACATATATGCACACAGGCACACACACGTGGCCCCCTTGTATATATTGGTGTAAAGGCAGGAGACACATATGAGTACCCCCATATGTATTTACACATGCCTGTGTACTAGGCTAGGCAGGCCTACAGATATGCTCTTCAAGACTCCTGTATGTAATCTTCCCAGCCTGCCCGGCCTTTCGACATTCCCACGCCCTCCTCCTTGTCCAGTGCACCATCTCTATCTTCTGCTGAGAAGCAGACTGTAACACCACTGACTATGACCGATGCCAGGTCTCTGGTACAACCTGCTCAGAGTCCCAGGAAAGTTCCTTGGGAAGGACTAACACCCAAAGCCTGCACACAGGGCCATTGTGGGGTAGAATGGGCCACGTCCAGACATTTGTGTGGACTCAAAGCTCAACCGTCAGCAGGGAGAGACAGCCCCTCATAGAAACTGTTCATTAGGGTTTGTAGGGGTCAAAAACTCGGGTTACAGCAAGCCTGCTGGCCTCTGAATTCCCCTTCAGGGCTCTGTCTTTTCAAAACACCCAGAAGCTGGAAATGGGGACAGGAAATCTCAGACTTCTAGAGAGACCATGTCGCCAAAAAGCTAGAAATGTGTGATGAGTGGGTATCCCAGGATACCCACTCACCCCAGCTGAGGGTCCTCAGCATCTGGACAGAGACTCCTGGGAGCATCATCTTCCTGTGTTGGTCCACTAGCTCTCCAGGGCCTGGATTCCATGGAATCTTCCAGAATGTTCTCATCTTGTCCCAAGGCCAGGCCATTGGTGAGAGAGGGGCTGAGGCCAGGCAGGGTCACATCTAGGTCTCCCATGGGCTCCATGGTGCCTGTCTTCTCACTGCCCAGACTGCTTATGTGGCTGCTCAGGCTTTCGCTGGCTGCCTTTCCATTCTGGACCCCAGGCTCCTCTTCAGGCTCCAGGCTGTGGTCCTGGATAGCACCCCCTTCCTCCCGCAGCTCACATGGGAGCTTTTCTTCATCCATGGCAGTCACTGCTTCCACTGGTCCCAGCCAGCCCTAGGGCTCCAAAACTCTTGGCAGAAGATGGAGAGAAAGACAGAGTTAGGCAGGCAGGGCAAGAGTCAGAGGATCAAAAGCCCTGTGAAACCAGTGCTGGGGCAGCCTGTCAGGCGAAGGTGGCCATGATGATCTCCTTAGTAACTTTCTGTTGGAGAATGGGCTCAGGTTGTGATAGCCTCACTTTGGTGGCAGGCTAACCACCCTCATCTCTCTTCTGGCCCCTAGCTAGGCCCTTGAGGTCTAGCCCCTGCCTTCCCTATTACTTCTTGGGTCTCTGTATGTTCTTCAGAATTCTATGGATTCTGAAGTCTTTTGAGGAAGACCCAGATAGTGAGGAACTGAGCAAGTGTTCAGCAGCTCTTGAAAACCCCTCTGTATTCCTGCTAGTGACAGGAGACAAAACCCCAAGCTGGTCCTCGCCAGCCATGTGCCTCTCTGTGCGTTCTCACATTTGTAACTAGGGGAGGGAATTGTTCCAGGAGTTGCTTTTCTAAAGGGGGGGGGCACTAAGAAAGAAGTCATGGAAGTGAACAGAAGTGCACCTTGATCCTGACAGGGAGCGTAAAGCCCAGAGACATCTGTCAGCCACAGGGGGCACAGCGGGAGCCGCTGTCCAGGGTGCTGGGCGGGTGCGGTGCTGTGCAGACTGAGGCAGCCCTAGTATCTGAGGCAGTGCTAGTATCTGACGAGGCTAGAAGGAGGAAGGAGTTCAGGGCTCCCTCCCCCGCCCCCAGCAGGAGTTCACCCGCAGTCTTCAGGAAGAACTCAAGGAAGACTTTGAGAAGCACCCTGGGGAAGGTGAAGTGGGAGGAACCACACCCGGCTCTATCCAACCTCCCATCCTAGCTAGGAGGGCGGAAGCTATGTGCCCTGGGCTGTGGCTTTATTCCTCCATGCTCTCCTCTCTGCCCCAGCCCCCTGTAGTCTGGGCTACCCTCCTTAGTGACCTCAGGCAGAGACACGACCAGCCCTGCTCCCAACACCCTGGAAAACTGCTGAGAAGCAAGTGCCTGGGCCTTTCCTCTCTTTCTGGTTTGAGTTACTTCCTTACTCCACTCTGGGAGCCTCGGTGGTCCCCAGTATCCAGCCTTCTTCCTGAGAGGTCTACCTGGGTTCAGGAGAAGCTGGAGAAGGAGAGAGAGAGTCCAGCTTTCTGGGCTGCAGAGTGGAGATGAGGACGTGAACCCCTCTACCTACTGCTTCTGAGCCTCACCTGGGGCCTTGGCCCACCAGACCTGCCCCAGGCCCCTGACTCAGACATGTAGGAAAAAGCAGGAGGACTTTGTACCCATGTGAGCCCAGAGAGGAAAGTGAGTTCTGCTCTCTGGAGTCTCCTGGGCCTTTGAGGGGAGCTCAGCTACTACAGGCCAGTTAAAAATCATTTAACTGATCAGAAGATGACTGGAAAGAGAGAGATCTGTGCCCTCGGCCCAGCCCATCGTCACTGCCTAGAGTTTTGTTTGTTTGGGTTGAGACAGGATTTCTCTACATAGACTACCTACAGTTCAAACCACCGCACTAAATTCAGATTTTACATACACACATACACACACACAGAGAGAGAGCGACCCACAGATTTAAAACATCTTCAAGCCAAGCTCTCAGCCACCAGGCCTTGATGCTGGGCCAGGAACCCTCGGGGCTCAGCACTGAGTCTTTCTGGTCTGCCCTATATCCCTGTCGCTGCCATTGCTACTTCTCTTGGTTCCCTCCAGTGGCACACCCGGAAGAGAGCAGGAGGTCACCTCCTCAACTGAGACTCCAAGGGGAACACAGAAGAGAGGGAGTGGGGGCTTGTAGCCCGCTGCCTGAGTTCGGATCCTCCAGCCATCTCATCAACCCAGGCCAGCAAGGCACTGACTCAGGGCCGCAAGGCTTGAGCTAAACTGTCAGGGTATCTCAAACTCCTGTGCTGAGGCACAGAGGTGGAGCCTGGCAAGGTGGGGAGTGCTCAGGTTAAGGTCCTGCCTAATCTCCCTGAAGTCACTTAAGTGTGTAAGTGGTTCTACCTGATGCCCTAGCTACAAAACACCAAAGCTAGAACTATGGACAAATCAAGGGCTTCTTGGGTGACCCTTCTGGTACTCTGTAACTTCTAGAAACTGTTTCAGGCTATCCCACACCTACCTGCCCTGCCATGTCCCCCTTAAGCTTCTTTCAAGCAGGACAGAGTTTCTGCCAGTACTGGGTACTGGCCCATGTCCTCAGTTCCCGGGGCTGGACAGACAAGAGGCAGCATTGAGCTCTACTGTAGGCAAGGGGCCAGAGTCCCTTCCTGGGCTGAGGGCCAGTAGAGCACAGAGTAGTCGAAATTTGGGAGGATGCACAAAGGGATGTTTCAAGCCAAAAGGTATGAAACAATGTTCCAGGTCCTCACCAATGTGGTCCTCCACATGATGTGACCAGGGACTCACCCTCGCCTCCCTGGCCTGTAGGAAGCCATCCATGGAATAAAGCATTCCCTCTGCTCTCTTCCCCCAGAGTGGGTGAGTGATGCTAAGGTCAGGGGTGCTGAGGGGGTGGCTATCTGCAGAACGGCAGACAGCAAACTCCTCAGGGTGCGCAGCAGCTGAGCTCAACTCTGGAACTCAGGGGAGACTGAGGCACATGCCTGGGAAAAGCTTTGTCTGAAATCCCACTGCACATGATCCGGTCTCCCTCTGCAGCTGGAAGGACTAGAGGTGCAGGCTGAAACCTCCCATGAGATCATGGCCCCAAAACCTCAACTGAGGGAGTCAGCCCGAAGCAGCGGTTCCTGCTGCCTCCAGCCCTGCTGGCCAGAGCAGAGAGGAGCTGGGCCACTGAGCATCTGTCTCAAGGAGACAAATGACAGGCTGGCAGCATTCAAGGCCCCCTGTGGCCCTCCTCTCAGCCTGATCCAAGCCCCTTTCCAGGAGCCTCTCACTACCCACAGCCCTTGGCATGACCTTGAGCTCTCAATGGCCTCCTTTCAGCACCAGCTGAGATGGAGACCATAATGACAGTAGAAACCCTCAAGCCAGGGGTGAGCCACACACTTGCTGGGTGCCAACTGCTCCCCAGATAACCCTGTTCCCTTCCCCACTTCCCCCGTGGCAGCTGGAGGGCACTGCAGAAGCAGAGCACACTGAACGCCTCCCTCCTCCGTAACCCCCCAGCAATTCCCATCACCCTTAAATGAGAAGCCAGTCTCCCCAGCGTGGCCTAAAAAGGCCCTGCCTGAGCTCATTCTGCTGTCTCCTCCCCAGCCACACTGGCCTCTTTCTGCTCCCCAAGCTCATTCCCACCTCAGGGCCTTTGCACCAGCTGTACCCTTGGCCTAGAATGTTGCTTCCCTAGATCACTCAGTGATTGCCTTTTCTTCCACTCAAGGCTCAACCACAAAGCTGGCCTCCCACCCCCAATAGAGACCCCGTGTGACTACCTAGTGACAGACTACCCCTCTGAGATTTAGAGTGCCAAGGAAAACAGAAACTCTTTTGGTTTGGTTTGGTTTGGTTTGGTTTGGTTTGGTTTGGTTTGGTTTGGTTTGGTTTGGTTTGGTTTGGTTTTGGTTTGGTTTGGCTTGGCTTGGCTTGGCTTGGCTTGGCTTGGCTTGGCTT